CAAAGCCCACTCAGTGATGCTGGGGCTGGGTGGTGGGGACAGGGAATGTGTGCAGTACTAACTAAGGATTAAACTCAGGGTCTCCAACACACTAGGCAAGTGAACTACTTGAACTATCTCATAATCCTTCTGAGCATTATAAATAAAGCTTTCAATAGTTCTTTTCTTAAAAATGGATCAAGCTGTATCCTGATAAAAGGCATCTTTCTTACAAATGACAGACACGGCTGAGGCAGCAGTAAACCCCATACTTAGAAAGCAGCCAAAGGTGGCTTTATATTCATATGCATACAAAACCTATATTTATTTTAGGGCCAGAAAGACAGTACAGAGGGTAGTGCACTTGCCTTGTATGCAGCAAATCCTAGAACCCCATATTGTTTCCCAAGTCCCTCCAGGAGTCATACCTGAACACAGAACCATGAGTAAGCCCTAAAGACAAAACAACAAATAAAATAACAACAAGAAAATCTATTTATTTTAACCAAAAATCCATCATCATGATACAGCTTTTCTTAGAGCAATGAATAAAAACAACAAACTTACAGTAAATTGTTCTTAACTTTGAATGAGATTGCTCCAAATTTCATATGGTTACTAAAGGTATCTTTAATAAAAATTATTTTGGGAGGCTGGAAAGATGTGGTACTTGCCTTGTACATAGCCAACCTGGTTTGATCCCTGATATCTTATATGGTTGCATGAGTATCTCCAGGAGTAATTCTTTAGTACAAAGCCAGAAGTAAATCCTGAACACCACCAGGTGTGGCCCCCAAAACAATAAATAAATAAATAAAAATTAATTTTTACTCCTACTCAATGTCATCTAGACATTATTTTCTTAATCCTTGAAAAACAATTTTAGACATATCATTAAAAAAGAAACAAAAAAGTAAAAAAGAAATAGCAAGACACAAATGAAATTCTTTCATTTGCTTGCCAGGTCAAAATTTAATGTCTAATCTAACTGTAGTTTCAACCGCTCCCAAGATTGTTATTTTAAAGTAGTCAACATGGAGTTTCTCTGGTTAGCACTAATAAGGTGATTTTCACACTTCCCCAGCCTGACTTCTCCTAAGGAAAGGTACTTGGTCAAAAAGTACTTAGTTAATAACCTTGGCTATCCTCCTTCACATTACTAAAGACTTTCTATTTAGCAAAAATTCTTGCAGGGTCGTTTTAGTTATTAAAAGCAGTGATTTAAAAGCATGGATTGTTTTTGTTGTTATTTTTGGTTTGGGGGCCACACCCAGAAATGCTCAGGGGTTACTCCTGGCTCTGTACTCAGGAATAACCCCTGGAAGGCTCAGGAAACCAAATGAAATGTTAAGAATTAAAAACAGTTGGTCTCCTGTAAGGCCAGCACCCTACCCACTGTACTATCTGTCTGGCCCCAAAGCATGAATTGTTTATCAAAGCCAATTAGTCTCTAATTTTTATTAGGATACATTTTATTTTAATAGTGGAAAATTCCTCGTTTTATTATAGCTCCTTTATCTTACTTTTATGTTGCTGTGGTTTTAGGGTCTTACCAGCTGTACTTTAGGGGAGGTGGGCTTCATTGTGGTTGAGGGGGGGGGCACGATGTGCCAGGAATAGAACCTGAACTTCTGGCATGCAAAGTATATGTACTAACCCTTTGATTTATCTCCCGAGCATATGTGTCTCAGTTTTATACAGCCTTTTACTCTATAAAAGTGCGCTGTCCTTTTTTTCCCCATTCTTTTGATTCCTATGTAGATGTTGTCATGTTATTCAGAGTCATCTTTCATCTAGTTCATACTTAAGACTGGCTGGAGCGAGAGCACAGCAGGTAAGGCATTTGCCTTGCAAACAGTGGACCTGGCTGACTGGAATTCGATTCCTCCACCCCTCTCGGAGAGCCCAGAAAGCTACCGAGAGTATCTCGCCCGCTCAGCAAAGCCTGGCAAGCTACCCGTGACGTATTCGATATGCCAAACACAGTAACAGTAAGTCTCACAATGGAGACGTTACTGGGCTTGCTCAAGCAAATTGATGAACAGTGGGAGGACAGTGCTACAGTGCTACAATGCTATACTTAACAGAATAAAGAAAACAATGCTGAATTACCACCTAAAATTTCTTCCAAAGGGATGGTGAAAACTTTACTCACTGCCTTCCAGAAAGGCTGTGCTGTCCGATATCAGTACAACTACATTCCTGCACGACAAGGACTCCTAATAACAGCACATTTGTGACGTTAAGCTATTCATCATTGAAAACAGGCATGGCAGGCGGAGCTATAGTCCAGTGGGGTGGGCATTTGCTTTGCACCCACCTGACCCGGGTTTGATTCTTGGCATCCCAGGAGTAATTCCAGCATGCAGGCAGACAAGAGTAACCCCTGAGCATCATCGGGCGTGAACCAAAAAGCTAAAAAAAAAAAAAGAGGCATGAAGGCTGCCTCACAATTATCTGAGTGATTTACCATCAAAAGTGGTAAGAGTCTAGGGTGCCAGAGAGATAGTACAGTAGTTAAGGCACTTGCTTTGCACGTGGTTGTCCAGGGCTCAATCGCTGGCACTCCATATGATCCTTCAAGAACTTCCAGGAATGATTCCTGAATTCAGAGACAGGAATAAACCTCGTGCATAGCCAGGTATGGCCCCAAAACAAACAAACAAAAAGTGGCAAGAGTTTTTGGTTTGCTTTTTGTTTCAATTCTACATGTATAACATCTAGCTAAAAGAAAAGCTTAAACCACAGTTCAATTGCCTTGCCTGGTACTTCCCCAGAAAATACTGTTCTAGTAATAAAAATACACTGTTTTTGACCCTAAATTGTCGGATCCTCGGCCACAAAGATCAGTGTTTCGATATAGGGAACATCAAATGTGTCAGACAGTAAGTCAGTACAAAACTAAAGAGTGTTTTGGATTTAGAATAGAATTCTAAGGCCCATTCAAACTCTTTTTGAACTAATAAATTCAATTGTGATCCATCAATGTTAATTCACTGGTTTGCTAATTTTATAAACCAAGGGCACCTTTTCATCTAGTTTATCCTTAAATGCCCCTTGCACTGATTTCCTAAATGAACTCTTGTTTTGAATGAATACAGACTTTTTTAGGAACTACAATGCAATCTGAATAACAATAATAAGACTCATTACTGTTACAAAAAGTGCAATTTTTCCTAATGTGAAAAAAGAGGAGTAGGAATCTGAGAAATAACTGTCAGATGCAAACTAATGCTTTTCACATTAGGCGTATTTGATGCCCACATTGTATATGAATTACATCATAAATTTAAAAAATCCCACCCAGGAAAAACAAACATAATCTTGTTACTTATTCCTGCTCTCCTTTAAAATACCATTACATGGAAAATGCTAAAAATTATCATTCTTCACATTTTTTCCAGGTCTGTGGTTGGGTCATAGACTTTCTGTAGCCTTTTCTGCAAAGAATGATCTCAATTTAATACAAACATACTTAAGGAAAAAAAGACATGAAAACTTATAAATGATCCAAGGAAAAGAGAGGTAAAGACAATAGAAAAAGTACTTGACAAATTCACAGTAAATATTGGTAAAGATGAAAAGAAAGATAACATGTCTCAGGGCTACCTTCCATATAATTAAAAATATATATTTACTATATATACTTTACCTTTACTATATATATATATATATTAAAAGTTAGAATTACTCTTGTTTATTTCAGAGTAAACCCATCATTCAGTAATTCACTCCAGACTTCTTGGTCATTGTTTTACAAGATCTACACAGTGCATTACTCTTCATTACCAAATAACTACCAAAACAATCAACCGATTTAGTCCCAGGGGATTACAACCCTAGGCGGTGGGAGGGGGAAAAGGGGGAAAGAGTTGGAGTCACACAGAGTTGATTCATCAGTGAAAGGATTTGAGAGAGTGTAAATGGACAGGGGTACAAAGCGTTTCTGGGAGAGAAATCAGGAGACCTAGATTCCAGGACTACACAGGTAACTTGAATGTCGGTGACCTTGTGACAGCCAAAATATTTGACTTGGAGATCTGATGTCACGGATTAGAAGACAGTACTACACTGAACTGCCTTTGGGATACTTTGCGGAGTCAAGAAACCAATTTGCAAATATCTCCCCCGAGGTTTATGATCCTTTCCTGGACAGGGCAGGATAAAGTCAGCCTTCAGTCATTTAGTCTAGCCCAGAGACTGTACCCTGGGGCTCGGCCCGGCCTCCTCCGCACCAAGCTCCTCCGACCGCCAGCGTCCGGCTGCAGGAGCGGTGCGGGGAAGTGGCTCTGTGAAGTTAAGGGTGGCCGAGGAGACCTAAAGTTGCAGAGACTGCTGAATCAGGGTGCCCCCATTTTGCCAGAACACGGGCAATCGGATGCTCCTTCCCTCACCCCTCCTCCTCCTCCTCCTCTGAAAGGAAACCGGATCGGCCTGTCCGCTAAGAGGTCACCGGCAAGGAGCAGAGTGATGTCACCTTAATAACGTCCTCGAGAGCGAAAGCAGCCAAAATGTCCGTGGATTATCCAAAGACGAGACAGTCCGGAAGGTGACCCTTGACTGTCCTTAGATCCTGCAGCCTGGGCCCTGCGGGATGGGTCGGGAGGACGCCGGGCGCTCTCGGTTGCACCGGCTACTTTCCGTGTCCTCCCCGGGTCGCGGAGCGCAGGGTCCGCAGGTGAAGCGGTTGGTTGGCCATAAGGGTATCGCTTCAGAAAGAACGTGGTCCGAAGAGTCCCCGAGACAACCCCCGAGTAAACGCTTTCGGGATCACTTGTCAAGAGTTAAGAGACAGCACTACCCAAGTCACGTTCCGAAGCCACTCGCCGGCTTCCGGCTCCGCGAGTGGCCGCGTCCGCTCCCGGGCCCCAAGTGGTCAGGTCTGGTGGGGTGGTTTGGGGACAGCGCGGTAGGACGCCCCGGGCTCGGGGTTAAGGTTTGGGGCGGGGGTGGGGGGCGGGGCGGGGCGGATGGCATCCTAGGAGCAAAGTTAGCGAGGAGCGGCGGGGGCCCCTTCCTACCTGTCGTGGAGAGCACGGTACTGGCGAAGAAGAGCGCGGAGGTGAAGTCCCAGTTCCAGTTGCCCGAAGCGTTGCTGAGCACCGACACGCCGTAGTTGCTGGCCTCCAGCACCCGGCCCAGGAACTGCTCGAGCTGCTGCTCCGACAGGCACTCGTGCTCCTCCAGGAAGCGCCGCTTCAGCTTGCGCAGCTCCTGGCGCAGCAGGTCCTCGTAGGGCAGCTCCACCGAGGAGAAGACCACGGCGCCGAAGACCAGGTAGAGCAGGTAGCCGAGCACCAGGAAACCGAAGCACCAGGCCGAGCGGTGCCGCTCCACCAGGCGCACGCACGAGCTGCCGGCCAGGGACTGCAGCATCTTCCCCCCCGCTGCCGCCGCCGCCGCCGCCACCTCCAGGGCCCACACGCCGCAGACTGGCCCCAGCGCGGCCCGCGGCCCCGCCGCCCTTTCGGGCCCGCCCCGCGCCCGCCCAGCTCCCACCCACTGCCCGCTGCCCGGCGCGCGCCCGCCCGCCCCGCTCCAAGGCACAGCCGGCTGCCCGCGATTGGCTCACTCCAGAGGGTTGTGTTGTTTTTTTTTTCTTTTCTTCTTTTCCTGTTTCCTTGATATATAAAAAGCCCAGATGATGTGGCGCTGACGTGTTTGCCAGCTCAGGTAACCCGAGAATCCACCGCTTCCGCGCGCTGCAAACTTGGCCTTGAAGACCGGACCTGCCCACTGCCCGGGAAGCCCACACCCTGCGCTTTGAACCTCTGGGTCGGGTGTGGGGGGTCACTGGCACTCAAACGCGGTTGGGGGTGAGGGGTTGTGCGTTTAAGGGGCTCTTCTAGGCTCTGTGCTTCCTCGGATTTACATTTGTTTTCCACCTATTTCTTCTTAATTCAAGCTACTGTGACAAAATGGAGAGCCTTGGGATACTTTCCTTCCTTCAAGTCTTGTTGGCCAAAGAATTGAGCAAGCTGGAACCTATGATGAGCGTTCCAAACTCTGGGTTTGAAGGCACCCGGGATTGTAGATGTCTCCTGCCCTCAGGTCCTCATCACTCACACTCTAATGTAGTAAAACACGAGGGATAGAAAGAAGTTACCAATATAACTAACTAAAGACACTGAGCTTTTCCAGGATTCGTTTCCTTTCAAGGTAACTGCAAATGTTGATGAGGATCAGCAAATACCTTACCGTGGATACACCCGTTTTGGAAAGTTAATTTGACAAAGCTATGAGAGTATTTATGTAGCATAGTGTCTCCATAAAGTACATACCATATAAGTAAGTCTATTGAAATGCAAGCACTCTTACCTGTGAATATATAGTCATGTGTGTAAATATTTGTATTTTGATTTGTAAAAAAGAGCTATCTCTGCACAATACACGGACTGCATGGAAATAAAATTATCACCTGAAGGTTTCTTTGGGTGATAGTGCAGTATTCAGTGTATTTTTTTAAGTATTCAGTATATTTTTGTTTTTCTAATCCTCTGCAGCAGACATATTATTACTTGAACAGGAAAATAGTAAAATACGAAATATAATTGTATAATCATTTAGTTCAGTACCTTGTGTGCTGCCACTTCTTTTTGAAAATATTGTACTTGGGGATTTATCTAGAAATTTTCATTGAAATCTCTAGCATACTCATCAGTGATTTTTTCACTTTCGGTAAATAACCTCATTTCCTACTCAGAAAGTCGAAACCATCTGCCTACTTTTCTGCATTTCAGAATCTCTTAACCAGTGACCTGTCTTTTTCTTTCTCTCAGGAAAATCACAGTTCCAGTTGCGCGAAGCGTTGCTTTTAAATCCTTTCTAGATGCCATCTCTAACCCACCACTCTCAGTCCCTCAGAAGACCTTCATGTCATTAATCAATCCCCTACCCTTCAGAACTGGATTCCTTCCTTCTCTGTTAGGTCCATTCTTTATCTCTAAGAAATCCACCCAAGTCTCCAGTGTCTCCACGCTCTTCTATGTAACCTGTTTCATAACTCTTGCCCCTCCTCCCCCATACTTATTGATCTTTGGCAGTTTATTTATTTTGGTTTGGGGCCATGTTGGATGGTGCTCAGGGCTTACTTCTGTACAGAGGGATCACTACCGGCAGTGCATGGGGGATCATATGCAATGCCAGAGATCAAACTGAAGACAGCCATGTGCAAGACAACTTTGTCAGTTCCTGTACTATTTCTCAGACCCATACGATCACGATCGGGAGATCACGACCATCCTGTTGTTCGTCGATTGCCTCGAGCAGGCCCCAGTAACGTCTCCTTCGTCCTAGCCCTGAGATTTTTTTTTAAAAAGTGCCATATTCAAGGCTCTTTCAGGGTTAGGAGAATGAGACCCATCATTGTTACTGGTGTTTGGCATATTGGGTACGCCACGGGGAGTTTGCTGGACTCTGCCGTGTGGGCAGGTTACCTTCGGTAGCCTGCCAGTTTGTCCAAAGTAAGAATGAGATAATAAGATGTCCAGGAACTGGGTTTTATAGTCTCTGAGTCTTGGCCATTGATGGGATTACACGGCACCAGGGGGCCATTGGTGGGTGTGACTCCTGCCTACTGGAATATGGAGAATCTGGGTGGAGGATGCTCAGCCCCGATATGAGCAGGCTTGGAGATCTCAGCCCCGGTACCCGCATTTGTTCCTCTGCTGGTACCTTCATGCGTGTGGAGAGTGGTCTCAGCATGGCGGTGGCTGGTTCTGGAGGTCTTCTGCTGCCGGAGCCCTGATCGGGGCAGGGAGGGAAACTCAACCTGCTCCCCTCCAAGGGGCCCCAGCGAGGACAGCCAGGCACGGGGGCAGGAGACTCACACATTGACATGCTTTTTTTTTTTTTTTGCTTTTTGGTCATACCCAGCAATACTCAGGAATTACTCCTGGTTGTCCTCTCAGGAATTACCCCTGGCAGTGCTCAGGGGACCATATGGGATGCCAGGGATCAAACCCAGGTCGACTGTACTCAAGACCAAAGTACTACCCACTGTACTATTGCTCCGGTCCTGACATGCGCTTGTTTTTTTGGAGGGACAGTAGACCTGGGCATTCCTGGCTCTGTGTACAGGGATTATTCCCATCAGTGCTTAGGGAGGATGTGGTTCAGGGATCAAACCTGGACTTATTTCATATAAAACATGTGCTCCACCCCTTTGAGCCATCTCTTCAGTCTGGCCTTTGACTGGTTCAAGGGCCAAAATGTTGCTGACTCTATTTACTCCTGAAGTCACTTTTTCCATCTTAGTTGTCCCAGACTTCTCCTTTTGCCTTTTCTCCTGTGTCAGTATTTTCCTATTCTTTTTTTCTCAGTGCCTCTGTTTAGGTATTTGGAACCACCTCTTCTCCATCACCAATTTGCTAGGGTATGGCATACATGCTATACTCATCCACAAAACCTATGATATCTGGAGGAGATGCATTTTTTTCCTGCTCCTATACCACATAACCCTTTGAATATAGTAGCTTGTTAGTTGCAGATTTTTTATTTTTTTTGTTTTTTAATTTTTATTAGTGAAACACCATGAGGTACAGTTGTAGACTTACAAAGTTTGTGCTTGGGTTTCAATTATACAATGTTCGAATACCCATCCCTCCACCAGTACCCATTCTCCACCACCACTGATCCCAGTATCCCTCCCACCCCCCCAACCCCCCAATCCGACCCGTTAGTTGCAGTTTGGTCAATTGCATACACAGGTATGGCATTAGCAGTATATAATTTCTAAGTATTTATCTACTCACAAATACAAACATATATATGCTCAGCAACTCTAAAACATGGTTGTGTATTGTTTTACTTTCCTCTTACCAACCAATAGGTAGGGTTTGTATCCCTTACCTGTGTTCCTACTGTGTGGACTTGTAAGTATCAATCAGTAAAGTACAAGAAATATGACACTTGATGATTCCAAGATTATATAATAGAATGACGCCAGCAGGTTGTCCTGATTTACTAGAATATGTCTATTTTGGAAGTTTGTGCTACCATGTAAGATTCCTGGTTAACCTGATGTAATCAAGTAATCTGCTTTGTTAGGAAAGCCATGTGAAAGAATGTTAGTTCTAGGAGGAAGTTCCATTGGGCCATTCTATCCATTATCCTCACGGTGGCCTGAGATCTGAGTGCAGTTATCTTCACCCTCCAGACTGAGCCATCCACATGCTGAATACCACTTAGGAAACTGGTTAATAAGAATCCCTCACCTGAACTTGGCCTGAGTCATGAGATATGATAAGACGATTGTTATTTTCTGCAATCACATTTGGGAGTGGCTTCTTATGCAGTGAAAAATAACCAGAGAAGCAGTGATCAGCAGTGTGTTTGAACATTAAAACTTATCATTGGAAGTTTTCTTCAGATTAATTTGCCATTTTCCCCAAGATTTGATTTCTTTTATTGAGACTCTGTCCCAGTTTCATACTGCAACTAGGTCAGAGATATCAAATATTTTGGAAACGTATGCTGTTCTTAAACTACGGGTAGAAACTGGAAACATTATGTGATTGTTCTGAGAGGGACTTAGGTCCTACCGTGCAAGGTATCATCAGTTTTTGGAGCCCAAACTTGAAGGTAGGCTGAGTATGAAGTGTTGTTTCTTAGAGTTGTCTGGGATCATTGTTATAAAGGTGATATTTCTCTCTTCCTATTTCTGGTTTGCTGATCTGGAAAGGTTTTACCTGTCTTCAAGGAAATTAGCAATATCAGACATAGTGTGATATTTCTGTTCTGTATAAATATTTGCCCTACATGATTTCTATGTATTACATTGCTAGCTAGCTATTTCTCTCCAGGGAATATTATGAGATGAAGCGGGCACCCTGCTGTCCCACCCACAACACAGTGTTCCAGAGGTTATCCCAAGCATTTCTCCTAAAAATATAAAACACAAAAGAGTATGGAAGAATACTGAAAGAAGAGTCAAAGATTCACAAAAGGACTGGAATAGGAGGAGCTGAAAGGAATAGGAGAAGTGATATGTTACCAGGTCAGTGGGAGGCTGCTTTCTGTTCTCTGTAATCGACAGAATTTAGAGACAGGTGACCAAGTGTTATGAGAAACAAAACTTGCACCTGGCATAGAGCCTTGCAAATTAATTTGCCACAAAGCTAATGGTATAAATAATTGCTACTGTGCTGTATTGGTAATTAGGCATAAATGGCAAGCAGTTATGTAAATGGATTAATTATCTCAACAGGTTGAGATGATGAAAACAATTGTAGGGCTGGTAGTTCTAGGAAAGTCATTCACTTGGGATCAAACTATGCAATTCATAAGCACAAATTGGGGAAACTCAGTCAAACTGCAGCAAAAACAAATTGTTATAATTTGTAATTTCTCTTCTGGATTTACTTCTAGAAGAATTGAAGTACAACTATGTAACAGTATATACACAACCAGATTCATAGCACCATTATTCACAGTA